AAGATTATAATTTGAGAGATTGATGATGATGATGATGATGAAGGAAAGAAAGATAGTTTAATTTGCAAGGCAATAATTATTCTCAAGATGATTAGTTTAATTTTTTTTTTTAAATACGAGACTTGAAAAAAAATTCTAATGATTTAAATGGTAAAATCTAAACATCCTCATTTAGTGTTTTGACCAAATAACATGCATTGTTATTTTAATTATTCTCTAGAGTCTAAGCATCGAGAGAAGGCTAGTTTAACTTTCATGGCAATAATTATTCTCAAGATAATTAGTTTGATTTTTTTAAAAATATGATACTTGAAAAAAAAATGATTTCTAATGCTTTGAATGGTAAAGTCAAACAACAACAAAAACAAAATCAAGTATTTATCCCACAATGTGGGGTCGGCTACAAGAATCCTTTTTCTCCATAGAGTCGTGTTAAAAATTAAATTATAATTTAAATCTAATAAAGAAACGTCATTTCTAATATTTTCTAACCAAATCTTTTTAGGTCTACCTCTACCTTTCTTAGCATAAGTCAAATCTAATGCACCTACTTTCCTAACCAGGTAATCGGAAGGCTGTCGTTTTATGTGACCAAACAATCTAAGGTGACTCACTCTAATCTTATCTTCCATTGGAGATAATCCAACCTATTCACGTATATGCTCATTTTGTGTAATGTCTCTAAGAGTAAAGCCACTCATCCACCTGAGCATCCTCATCTCTACAACACTTAACTTAATATTATGCTTCTCTTTTAATGGACAACATTTTGCACCATAAAGCATTGCAGGTCTAACCACCATCTTTTAGAAATTTCCCTTAAGTTTGAGGGGGGCTTTTCTATCACATAACAAGCTTGATGCATTCCTCCACTTCAACCATCCAACTTGAGTTCTACTAATATTATCCCCATCTATTTCATCATCACTCTGAATAATAGACCCAAAATATCTAAAACGTGTACTCTGATCGCCCAAAGTCACAATCCCCCACTAGATCTATTATTACTAAAATTAAACTCCATATATTTAGTTTTAGATCTACTCAAACAAAAGCCTTTAGACTATAAGGTTGACCTCCATAATTCAAGTTTGAAGGGTAAAGTCATGCATCAATATTTAGTGTTTTGACCTAATACCTTGCATTGTTATAATAATAATAGTTTTATTTGCAAATCTAATTGTTTTCATTATCACAATTTATTTCAAATATAATTGTCTATTATACATAGCAAGCATTTAAAGCATTCTCTTTTTTTATTTTTATGACATTTATAGTGGCTTTTTATATTGGAATATTTTTTTTTAAATCATACATAATTTTTTAATGTTTTGTACTATATTTAAAATATCATGCATTGTGTCATCTGCCACACACTATAGCTCTAGGAGCCCTTTTTTCTATTATAGTGCACTATTCACTATCGACAAATATAATATATATAGAGATTGTAAATTTTATTTTTTTGTCATTTATCTTTTATAACTGAAGAGAACGGAAAGGTAAAGTAAATCCTCTATTTAGGAATTGTGGGTTTGTCACACTCGTTGAGAGAGAAGTTGTGGTTTGGTTCATTAAGTTTCAAAGAACACAAGATTTGAAAACTACTCTACCAAGAAATTTAGGGCTTCTCCACCATAGTGAGTGAAATCCTTAGTGAAGGATAAATTTAAGCGCAAATGTCAAATAGTTTGGAGCTAAACCATAAAAAAATTATTTTCATTGATCTTAAGTGTAGACTTACTTTATTTGACAACTAAAATTGAAATTTTACATGATTATGTGATAATTTGATGATTAATCTTACTCATGTGCTAAACTTTTTGAGTAGTTTTACTTGCATGCAATTAAACTTGATGAACTCGCACTTAGCATTGTTAACTTCAAAATCAACATTATTATTATTGTGTTGGCATATATATCATTTTCTTTAGTTAAATGACCATGCTTGATTTTGTTGTTGCAAGCTATATAAATATATTTATAAATTTGACTTTGTTGTTTTGGAGGCTTGGTGCCTATATAATGCCCCCTAACATTTGTAGTTTTATTAATTAATGGAATAAGATTTTAGATTTCTAAGTTCAAGTGAGGATTCTTTGGTTCTTGAAAGGATCAAAAGGGAAGGTGGTCCCAATGGAGTTTTGGGTCCACCATAATTGACTGTTAGAACTCTAAAGAGCTCCTCGGGAAACAAGTGGCTGGTGAATAGCAGTTTTTGGCCTTCTTTGGGGCATTTGCACAAAGGTGGTAGTGGCATATCCACTTCTGGGTTGTATAAGTAGAACGGAACAACCAACAAATCTTCTTACATCCTTTACGCAACTCCCAAGTAGGGCACTTGGCAATGGGGAGTAGGTTACCAAGCTTCTTGCCATACTTTTCAATGGAGAATGGTGCACCATGGTGCGAAATTCCCTGTGGATCCATGAAACATAATATACGGCGTGGTGCGTGCCATTTTGAATATGGCACAAAATAAAAATAAATATAAAAAATGTCTTAATATGAAATATTATTAAACTAAAAGATTATATCAAAATTGAATAGAAATTGGTGTTTGATTGATATTTGCATGAAAAATTTATTTATGGTAGCATTATTCCAATTTTTCAAGCACAACATTGCATCCAGGCAAGCTTGTTTGAACAAGCATGTTCAAGATAATCTGAATAAATAAAACCAACCAAACCTATTTGAATACAAGAATTTCTAAGGGTGTATATTATCAGTTGTCACATTTCTGTAAATTATTCAGACATTGTGCTTTTCATTCATATCATTATGATAGAGCGTAGCATTGAACAATGATTCTATTAGACTATATTGTGACTAGAAAATCATGAACTCAAAACTTATGTTCATTTAATAGCTCAAGAACCTCAAGAACCATGTAAACCCCCATGTCATACCCTATTATTTACTCATTTCACCATATTTAACAATTTGTTGTTTAAAACATGTAGCAACAAGAAAGAAAATATTTAAAATACCATACACAACATCAATAACACCTCAGGTTAAAGCATGAAAATAAGAAGGGCATTTGGAAGAAGTGTTGTGTTGTTGATTTAGAGGACAAAAAGAAGGGCATTGTAAATCTAATAATACAGGTAAAGGAGAGTAGGGAAAAGCAGTGAAGTAAATATGCGGGAGTATAAGAAAAATAAAGGAGAGAAGTTCGAGAAAGATAGAGAGCTGTGAATACCCGTGAAGGTAGGAAGAAGGAAGGAATACCCGGATGTGTGAAGGGAAGCGGAATACGTGTGGAATCGGGTGTCCATGAGGGTTCGTGGTTTCGATCAGGCTTGAGGGAGGCGAAATTCGTGCGGGTGTGAGTATGGCTTTGGTTGCAAGGGATCGGGCATGACTCATGGTTGGGTCGTCAAGTTTTTAGGTTTACTTAATAAATAAATAACTAATAACATAAAATTTATTATTATATTATTTAAAAATTAAAATTATATAAATATTTAAAAATTATAAAACCAAAATTCAAATTGCACACATCGTGCGTCATGTGCCATTGCACACACATGGCGCAAATGACGCTCGCCAACTTGAACCTGTGCACCGCTCCATGCAGCTGGAGTCACAAATGCGCCGTGCCTCGCGCTATGCACGCGTCATTCTGCGCCATTAACAAGTATGCTTCTTGTAGCTCTCAGCCTACCACAAATCAAGTGCAAGGGAGCTGGGTAGCCAATTACAATGCTAGTGCAAGAATTCCTGCTAGTGTAAGGAGTCTTCCTAGATTTTTGGCAAAGAAAAATCCAAAATAGTTCACCAACTATTTGTATGTGATAAATTTAGTCTAGAGTATCACATTTCTCCACTTTAATCCCTCAATCATACAATTTTGATCTCAAATGATCCCTCAGGTAGAAATTAATCAAAATTTAGATATAAAATTTATCCAAATTTTGCCCCTCAACTATACAAAACTGATCACAATTTAGTCTTCGAGGGACTATTTGAGATCAATTTTATATAATTAAGGGACTAAATTTAAGTGACGTGACACTTGAAAATTGCATTGCTAGATTACAAGCATATGAGCTACTCTTATTGAGTGACATTATAGGCATTATGATTATAGTTTTCTCACTTTTGAGTTATCATCATTTACCTTATACGTATCTCATATACCTGACCTCATATATTTGTATGTATTTGGTTATCTGTGTTTGATTATTTATTTATTTATGCTTGAATGTAAGGGTTTGAGTTTGAAAGAATTTCAAAAAGGTTAGTTGGGTTCTGATGTACGCCAAATTCAAACCGTGCTATTCTACACTATTGAAAACCATCCTTATGAGTGTATAAAAACTACGTGCACGAACATATTACATGAATAGTCAGGTGCACGCACACATTGACTCACAATCATAATTGTATGGCATAGACAATGCAAAACAATTGTTCAACATAAAACAGTCATCCACCAGCTAATGCCATTTTACCTATCCAATTTTCAATATTCTAGCCTCACAAAATAACAAAGGTGAGTAACAAATCAACTATTTGCATATTCCAAGTATATAAGCAAAATGCAGCACCTTGCTTGCATCAATAATTTTTTTAATCAAATGCATCACAAGAATAAATGACAAACTAAGGGGTTGTTGGTTGCTTGGAAAAAGAATGCAGTGTAAAATGAATACAATGTAAAAGGAATGCGATGTAAAAAAGAACACTTTGGAGTTATTTGAATGAGTGTAAATGAATGCATGACTTTATTCTTTTTTTTTTGGCTTTAAGTAAAGTAAATGAAATGTAGAGTTTAAAAAGAATGTGCCCGAGCTGGCTGGTGGCCGATGGCTGGCAAAGGGCGGTGGCAGGGGTAGTGGCATGGTGGCTGCTCTTGACAAAGATGGGCAGAGGTGGCCAACAGTGGTGGGCAGTGCTGGTGGGTGGCAGTAGTGGCCTGCTGCGGTGGGCGGCGATAGTGGCAGCGGCCTGGGGCGGTGGGTGGTGAATGCAAGCAGCGACAGTGAAGGCTAGCAACTGTCGGCGGAGGTGATGTACGGCAGCGATAGGCGGCGCGCAGTGACTAGTGGTTGGAGGCGAGCTGAGAGTAGCGAAGAGAAGGGACGAGGGTGGCGGGGGCGGCCGAGGAGCGGCGGCGGCGAGCTATGGAGATGGTGGCCATTGGCGGTGGTCAAGTAAACTTTGGAGCGGTGTAAACAGTTCTCGCTCAAAAATGGGTGGGAACGATTTACCTAAAAAATGAATTAAAATGAAATGCAGTACATTTACTTTACATTGGATTTGTTTTTCATCGAACCAAACACCAAACTTTTCAAAACCCATGCATTCACTTTACTTTACACTCATTTTAATTCCAACCAAACAGCCCCTAAATGGAACAAGAAAATTTGGTTATACAAACACATAAGAAACCAAATAATAAATAAACAATATTAATTCTAGGTAAGGAAACGAACACCCAGATAGATTATAAAAGCAAAAGACCGCAGTCACCAGAGATATCGGCAATAATAAAAGAAAATTTAATGAACCTGAATGGAATCAGGACAAGCATATGTCCGAGTATTTTTCCAGTGATCTGCACCAATAAGACAGAGCCTTGCACTGTCAGAGTATGGCTCGAAGTTTACTTCTGCAAGCAAGTAGCAGGCGTGTGCAGCAGCTACCTATATCAAAGAATAATGATTTTAAGTGGAGACCAACATAAATTAAAACAACCAGCAAACCACAGCAAGAATACAGACCTCTCCTCTCTCCTTCCATAGACAATCTCCAAGGTGAATAATGACGAGCTCATCATCCTTTGTTCTGTTTGAGGCAATTATTGCTATATTTTCATGCCAATCATCTAACAAGCCATTCGGAATAACCTGACTAAGTCAAATGGCCATATAAGAATAACAACAGAAAAGACACTTGCTCCATGCAAATGGTATATAAGGTTTACTGAAAGAGATGCACTACAACAGTATCAAGCTCCAATAAAGCATAGAAAAACCCCATTTATAATATATTATAATTGTAGAGCCAGAAATGAAGATGCCAAGAAAGGCAAAAGAAATTTCAGTATATTTCACCAGGGTATTCAAGTTCATAAATTACCTCAAAAGACTGGTATGGTCCACTAGCAGTAACGGATGAGCCACTGGAGAAGCTATCTGAAGAAAACACATCTGCAGGTTGCCCAGCAATAAGTAGGTATAATGTTCTTAATGGTGAACCACATACGAACTGCTGAAGTGCCATTTGTTTTACAGTGTCCATATAGAACTGCATATAATTGACCAGAAAATGGAAACAATTAGGTTTACATGAAAAGAGAAATCATCTTTAATTATAAGTCAGTAAAATCATCATGGAATGATGCCAAAATGGTACGAGAAATAAACAAAAGACCAACCTGCTCACCAAGCTGTGCTGCAAGAACAACAGCAGTACCCCACAAGCGACCTTCTTGTGCACGTTGGAGTGCCTCTTTTCTTCTTCCAGAAACCAACAGATTTTGCACCTCACTGGCAGTAGCCTAAAATGAATAAGAGCGTGACTTCAATATCAATCAATACTAGCTAGAGAGGCCCTTAACAAAGAAAATTTTATGAGAAAAACTAGTACCCTTATATTTCCTTCAGGGAGTGGACTTTTCATGCAATGCAAGGAATAACCACCTCCAAAAGAAGTATCTTTTCTTTTAACAGATGCAAACAGCTTAGAGACTGCAGACTCCGGACCATTGCTTCCCTAAACCACAATGAAAGAGCGTAACTCAAAATATCACATCAGATATACTTAAATGGCTGTGGAAATTTTAAAGAAAATATTGAAATATGTGATCATACTGTAATCAAAATCATTAGATTAGCTTTTGATAAGAAAAGAAAATTAGTATATAATTTATTCATGTTCACTTAAAAACAAATTTAATAAAAAGAAAACAAAATAACATATGATAACAGCAACAAACGTTTCTGCCCAACACACAGATCAATAAAATTGCAGCATTATCATCATTGTCATTAGCCTTATCCCAAACTATTTGGGATTAGTGTTTCTCAAATGGTATGTTTTCACTTGCTCTAGTTGAATGTTGTCTAAAGTTTTAAACATATTATACCTATCCTTATAAATCTCATGTATAACTATTTTTCTTCTTAATCCTTGGATACTAACTTTCTCAACTTATCTAATAGACACATATCTGTTCTTCATTATAAATGCCAAACCACTTATATTTATTTTTTTGTAATTTTATTTTCAACGGATATTGGTCCAACCTTACCCCTAATATAGTTTTTTTTTTTTTTAGTTATTCATTAATTCATCCTTCTTAATTTAGCTACATCCATCTCAACATTCTCAGTTATGTCATACTCAACTTATATATTAATGATATTTTTACAACCCAACTTTTGGATCCCTACAATATCATTAGCCTAATTGTGATTTTATAAAATAGAAAAGGACCAAAATGGTCCCTTAACTCTTTGGGAGGTACCAAAATGGTCTCCAACTATTTCGAGGGACCAATTTGGTCCCTCAACTCTTAAAATGGGACAATTTTGGTCCTAAAATCCAAATTAATAGATGTTAGACTTAATGGTGTTAAAATTAAGGGTATTTTAGTAATTTGTTAATTAAACTATTTATTAGATATAATTTTTAAGTAATTATAATTTTTCCAAAAAAAATTATTAATTGTTTGTTTAATTAGAGAAATTAATAATATCTTTAGTTATAATTTCAAAAATTTTAGCCATATATTAATTACTCAACCTAACTAATAATATATTAGAAATATTAACTGGCTTAATTATCTAATTCATATTATAAATCTTAATAACTTACATAATTATATAACTACAATTATTATTTTGAATACCTATCTAATTATTATTTAGAATATTAACTATCTAATTAACACTAAAGCCTTCCTTCATCTCCTTCGACGACATTCCTTCTTATCAAATCTGAAGTCATGAAAGTTCGTTGTTCTTTCGTTAAATCGGACGTAGCGACATGAGCTCGCTCGCTGTGAAGGTAACTATCATTCTCCCTTCTAAAGACATGTTTGTTTGCTGGGGTTTGATGCTATCTATTGGAGATTCAAAGAATTAATGAGTTGCAACACACACACACACACTATATATATATAATTTTTTTTTTTTTAATTCTGATCATACCCTCACAACATCCGTTAATTTAAGAAAGATAATGAGATGATGAGATGTTGCTTAAATATGGAGATATCAAGGACATGTAGAAATGTTGCTTTGAAAAAGAAATTAATTCTTATTTCAAAATGAGGAATTTAAGAAAAAAAATTATTTTGAAAGAGCATAATAAATAATATAATGAACTATATTATAGATTAATACAAAAAATTGAAAAGGAGCTGGCTCTGAAAAAGGTGTATAAAGTTAAGACTTTTTATCTAGATATAATATCTATTAAAATTTGGAGAGTTACAAAAGATATTGTAGTGATTTGGTTAAATAATAAAATTATGAAGACTAAGAGGATTCTAAATGATTAGAGAAAAAGTATTTTGGCACTAATAATTAAGAACAAAGATGATGCTTAAGATTGTGCTTATTATAGAGGAATCAAATTTATAATTTATGTAATGTCTCCATGGGAAGTGGGAACACATAATGGATTAAAAGTTCAGAAAAATTAGATCTATTTCGGATGGACCAATTTGGCCTCATGCTAGAAAAACCTATTATTAAAGTGATTTTTATGTTATGATAAATAATAAAAAATATAAAGAATAAAGAAAAAACTTTATGTATTTTTTATTAATCTTCAGAAGGCATATGATCGAGTACCAAGAGAATTTATTTGACATTATTTAAGAATGTAAGGTGGGTATTAAAAATATGTTGCATTATTATCGATATGCATGATTGAGCACTAGCTATTGTCAGAAGTTGTTGTGAAGTGATCAAAGAATTTTCAAATATCATAGATTCACATCAATTATTATTAACATTTAGTCCATATTTTTTTATTAGTTATAGAGATGCTTACAAAGGATATTTGAAGGGAGGTATTTTGGTGTATGTTTTTTTGCAGATGAGACATTAATTGAAATAAGTGAAAATTTGAAATAATGGAGGAAATATTTAAAAAATATAAGCTTTAAAAATTAGTAAAGATCGAGTATATGATATGTAATGTTAGTGGTTTGATGTTAACATATATAATTTAATAGTATTAGAAGATAATGTGATATGTTTAAATATCTTGCATCTATTATATAAAAAAAATGAGATATTGATGAGGGCATAACTTCTAGCTTTAACATTGGATGTTTAAAATAGAGAAGTGTCTCAGGAGTGATAAGATGATATCATGGAAGCTTAAAGGTAAATTTTATAAAAGAGAAAATAACTAAAATGGTCATTTAACTCTTTGGGAGGGACCAAAATGGTCCCCAACTATTTTGAGGGACCAATTTGGTCCCTCAACTCTTTTAAAATGGATCATTCTTGTCCTGCCGTTAAAAATAATGAAAAATATTACATATTCAACAAATATAAAGACTCATAAATTGTTAGAATTCATAGAATTTGAGAAGGGTAAAAATACCTTCTAATTATTATACAAAATTATCCCTATTTATAGATCTATACAAGATGTCTTAATAAAGAAATAAATAACTTCTAATTGATACATAATTGCCTCAATATAATCCTTCCTAATTCAGCTACACAAATATAGAAGGATATTGGGGTGATACAGGTGAGCCTCCCACGGATTCTCATCCTGACCGTGGGATCAAATGCCAAGGGATGACTGAGATTTTGACAATCCCCCTCAAGCTGGAGACCAGCTTGCAATTACTCGCTCAGAGGTAGAGCTGCATTGGTTATGGATAGGAAATCAACCACCAGAGAAAGTCAGCAATGAAGGTCGATGATGGAAAACTATCCTCAAAATTCCGACAATTAAGGCCGGTCGTGGGAACTTGTATTCCGCAGAGTTCCAGCAATGAAGGCCAGTGATGGGAACATCCTCAAAATTCCGACAATGAAGGCCGGTGGTGGGAATTTTGTATTCCTCAGATTTTCAGCAATGAATGTTGTATTTATAGTAGCAATAAAGGTTGATTTGATCAACAATAAAGACTAATTTGCTTGTATTAGCAATAAAGGCTGATTTGCTTGTATCAGCAATAAAGGCTGATTTGCTTGCATCAGCAATAAAGGCTGATTTGCTTGCATCAGCAATAAAGGCTGATATTATATCTTAATTAGATCTTAAATTTGATTTAAGTTTTTTTTTTCAAATCTCTTGGTTTAATAAACCGAACCGCTTGGTTTAATAAACTGGACCGAGCCAAGTTAAAAAAACTCGGATCGAGCAGCAAGTAGGGCGTATGCGAGGAACTCCTGGTTTCGGCGTCAGCGTGAGAGCAGTGTCGGCAGCTTCTTGCGGCACCGATTGTGGATTCTGCGGCGTCTGTCTTCGGCGTCCGACTCTGTCTTCAACTTTTGTTGGTAACGCTCCGTCTGCCTCCATCTTTGGATTCATTCGCAAGCTCCGGCTTCGTCGTCTGGGCAATGTAGCTCTGTCCGCGTTGTCAGCTCTATACACGTCGTGAGCTCCATCCGCGACCTTGGCTTCAGTCGCAAGGCTTCGTTGCTTCTGCATGCACGAGAGTTGGCTCGCAATTAGGCGGCTCCTTCCCGTGAGGTCTTGATGTTCCTTCCTTTGGCTTCGTCTCGCAAGAGCTTTGCTCGGCCCGTCCGTCCCACAAGGCCCCGCCGCTTCCTTCCTTCGACTTCGTCACAATTTGCTCGACCCATCCGGTTTCATTCGGCTTCAGGCTTCGGGCTTCTAGGTCCAGCGTCGCTTCTTCGGCTCCTTCGTGGCTACGCTCCTTTGACGACTTTCCCTTTCTATCGGATCGGAAGTTACGACGTTTGGATCGGGAAGCTTCCTTCGACAGGGGAGCTTCGTCTGCGGCGTCCGTCCTCAGCAATGCTTCGCTTTGGCGTTAAGCTTCTGTCAGCATGGCTTCGATTACTTCTTTCTTTCCTCCTCCGATGATCTACGATCATTCTACAACGGCAATGAAGGTCGTTGGCTCTGATACCATGTTAGAATTCATAGAATTTGAGAATGGTAAAAGTATCTTTTAATTATTATACAAAATTATCCCTATTTATAGATCTATACAAGATGTCTTAATAAAGAAATAAATAACTTCTAATTGATACATAATTGCCTCAATATAATCCTTCCTAATTCAGCTACCCAAATATAGAAGGATATTGGCGTGATCCAGGTGAGCCTCCCACGGATTCTCATCCTGACCGTGGGATCAAATGCCAATGATTGATTGAGATTTTGACATAAATAATTACAAAACTATGGAGATCCTATATGTATACGATCATAAAGAAGTCAAAATCTCCGGTTCAATTTTACTCCATGGATGCAACCTAGAAACTCACAATTGGATCAAACAAAAATTATGATGAGCAGTTTTTACAAATTTGTGTAGAAAGCTTGCATATATATGTATGTATGCATGTATCTAGTACATATTAATGTGCATTCCAGCGTATACCTAAGATAAGGATACAAAGCATCACACAACATAGGATAATTTCATAGATAAATGAACAAAATAAATCAATATAACGTGAATTTGAATCCAATTCCTTGAGCATTAAGAGCAACAAATCATTAACTTTTAAATAAAAAAACTAACATAACAAGCAAGTCATACCTCATGTGATGGTTCGGCACCATATGGAGATCGAAGTTTGCCATAATGTTGACACAATATTTTCAGTAAAGAAAGAAGCAACCATAAGAGTAAACCATTTTGGAAAAATGAGCTTGAAGATTCACTACTCGATATCTTGTCATTTATCCATTTATTTATATCTTTAGAAGCAGCATTCCCACCGACAAGAGGCCCAGGAAAGGATTCCTGGCACAAAGTATGGAAGTAACCAAAGCATCCAGCAGAAGTGTTCCAAAAGTCTGCTTTTGTCATCACAACATCCACTAAGCTATGAATCGACACTACACCTCCTACAGTTCCCTTCAATGTATCAACAGAAAAGATGAAGTTGCAGAAATGACATAGAAAACTAAGAATGAAGAATAGTTATATAAACTTGCACATAATGACAAGTTTACTCTATTACATCAATTAAATTGAAAGCTCTCGTGCAAATAAAATTAAGTTGAAAGCCTACCTGACTTCCAGAAACAAAACTTGAACTTGGAAAGCTGGCATCTTTCATGACTAGAAGCCTTCCACCAAATACAAAAGTAACTAATGCATGTGGAGGCCGTCCAGCTGTTGATCTCCCATCATTATGATTATATGAAAACTGTGAATAAGATGGATTTGCACCATGAAATGATTGGTTAGTATAGTGCATAGAGCTTTCAGTGCCATAGTTATTGTTAGATAAATATGCCTGAAGGCTCTGTTCCATGTTAGGTTGATTAACATGGTGCATGCTTTCTGAAGTAACATATCCCTGAGCAACAGTCATGTTACTTCTGCCAATCTTATGCTTCACCATGGGTTCTAAATGGATAGGATCTAATTGCTTATCTGAATGGCTTCCAGTATATTCCAGTGAACTATAAAAGCTCCCCATCAGCTGATTATTCAAAGAAGTAGCTACATCTCCATTTTTAGTGAGAAATTTTGGCTGCCACATTTTCTGCTTATCATAACTACCAGATGCTTTAGAATGACTTTCTTTAATAGTTTGCTCCTGCCACAAGCCTGTAAGACCATATCCACCGCCAGATGTATTCAGATGACCTTCCTGACCATTCTTCTCCTGCCACATGCTCTGTTTTCCAAAGCAACTTTCAGATGCATTCAAATGACTTTTTTGACTACTTCGCTCCAGCATTGTGTATTGTCCAAATTGAGCGTGGCTGCCATATGAGAGGTGGGAATCGTCTATGTTCAACCCAGCTAAAGAGTTCTCATTGGTAGTCAGCAGGCCTTGAGTTGCATCTGTAGCATCCTGAAGGGAGTGATTATATGACTCGAGAGTGTACCACATTAGTGTGTTTTTGTCATAATACCATTCTGGGTATTGAGGATCAAACACCATATTAGGAGGGTAGTATATGCTATCTTGAAGAACCTGTTTACTACTGTTAAAGATACTGCTCTCTTCAGTAATGGTTTCTAAAGCTTGCTGACTAGTCTGTTGAACATTCACAGCATCTGAGGTCTCCAGCAATGATCCTTCAAAGGCATGCTGAGCTTCATCTAAACTCACATTGGTAGCAAGTTGGTCTTGAATTACATTTGAAGCATTATGAATGGCATAATTATATGACTCAATAGTATACCACTTTTTTGTGATTGTGTCATAATACCATTCAGGATATTGGGGATCAAACACCATATTAGGGGGGAATTGATTCCGACTGTTTAAGACACAGCCCTCCTCAGATATGGTTTCTATAACTGGGTGACTACTTTTCGGAAGATTCACAACAGTTGATATCTCTGATATCGATCCTTCAAAGGCATCCTGAATTTTAGCTAAAGCATTCGCATTGTTATTGAAAGGGACTTGAGATGAATTTGAAGCATCATGAAGGGCATGATTATATGACTCAAGAGTATACCACATTTGTGTGATTGTGTCATAATACCATTCTGGATATCGAGGATCAAACACCATATTAGGAGGGTAGTCTTGGTTATCTTGAGAAACCTGATTCCCACTCTTTAGGACGCTGCTCTCTTCAGATATGGTTTCTAAAAGTGTATGACTAGTCTGCTGAAGATTCACAATATCTGATCTCTCTGATACTGACCCTCCAAATGCATTCTGACTTTTAACTTCACTACTCTCATGGGTATTTGCACTCGTTGTTATGAAATTATCAGATTGGCTAGGTGCAGTAGCATTATTATCATCTAGCTGGTAACATAGCCGAGTAATTGTCTCGTACTTCCTGTCAGGGTAAATATTTTCCCAGTTCTTCACTTCTGTCAAACCTGCACTTTGTTCACTGATAGAGCTATAAACTTGAGCATATTGTTGTTCATAGGAATCAACATGCGAGCTCAAATTTTCGGTTGTGTTTTCTATTAAGGTTGATTCAGAGTCAGAAAATTCTTTTGAGTTAACAAAACTACCAAAACCACTCCCCATAAATAAATCAGATTCAAAATCACCCAGTCCAAACTGCTGGGAATTGAAGGCACTCCACTGTATCTCCTTAAAACTCGCCCCAGCACCAATAGCTGCCCCTTCGGTCAAACCTTCAGATTGGCCTCCAACGGAAGCATCATTCTTGGTAGCCTCTGAAAAGCTCAAACATTGGTTATCCTTTTGGCCATTCACTTCAGACGCAGACCCAGAATCCTCCACCTCCCCAAGACTAAAATTCGACATGGCCCTAACCATGTCTTCTTCATTCGAGTGAGATTGGCCAGCTTCATAATCGCTATCTACGAGCTTACTAAAGAACTCGTCGTCCGTCTGGTCCGCCTGTAACGGAGGAGAAGAAGATGACATGGTATCGCAGAAACAAGAGCTTACAAGATCACAACTTCCTCCTCACTGAAAATAAAAGACAGTAACTAAAAGGATACTCCCAAGGATTCAACCAAACGCTCACTGACCCCAAAAATCGATTGACCCCAGGAAACCCTAGCAGATCACAGTAGTCCGACCACGAAATTGCGCGCTCTATCGCACGGCACTTGGAAACTGTATCGATGGAGGTAGGATCCCGGACAATTGACGACGAGTGTGATCGAGATGGCCATAAAAGGAACATTTACGGCTTGTTTGCTGAGAATGATAGAGAAATAAAGTCGATGGCTAACAAAGGAACAATTTACTGACTTCGAAGAGGGGAAGTGGGTGTGGAGCCGGATTAGAGACAGCGGTAACAAAGTGATTTCAGCACCCCATCAATGTTGTTGAATCTCCTCCATCCCTATCTCTCCCCTGCATTCTCTCAAATTCGTGGCTTCTTCGCTTCTCACTGCTGCAGCAATACGAGATTGCCGTAAATGACGGGTTTCATTAGGTACCCTACCACTGAATGATCAGATTTGTAAGAGACGTTGGAAATAAAAATAATGAAATTAAATGAAGGCTACACTACGAAGCCCTAAATTTAGGTTTAAGTGATTGTATAAATGAAATCTTTATTCAGCTATCGTAGTGGCCAGAATTTTTTTTATATATAGTTTCTTAAAATATTTTTTTTCAGTACAAAATAAATTGTCTTAAGATTTTATTGGTGTCAACTTTTTAATTATTTTTAATAAAAAATTTAATTTTTTACTTAATTTTTTTTTTAAAAAAGCAATAAAAAAATCAACCCAAATAAAGCATTAATTTTTTTATATTTACAAAAAATTGAGATAAAATAATCAAAATAATTGTGTTCAAATCTCAAATCTTAAAGAGGGTTATATTTCTGTAAAGTTGGGTTATAAACTGAGAAATTTTGAAAAAAATTTGTAACATCATTTAATAATTGGGTATTTTCAATTTATTTTGTACTTCATTCTATTGATTGAATCAGTTTTTCTTAATATAGGTCAATTATGTTCTATGAACAATTATTTGGTTGAGTTCCCAAGTCTGCATAGTAGATTACTTGCTTGCATCGCTCTTTCCTCTGTTTTTTTTTTTTTTAGAGAATGCAAAATTGCATTAATTAAAGAAGAAAGGACAACCTAATATAAGCTAAGTAAAAGAACCTAATGGTTCCTTTTCAACATGAAAAAGGGACCTTATTGAACATAAATTTGTTAATTTAAACTTATTATAAATGATATGACACCCACTATTTTCTATTTTAAAACTGTTGAGATGCAGGGGATACCAAAGAAATAAACAACCCAAGGGTTGATTAGTATCCCAGAGTTCCCATCCAGTTAGACAATAAGACATAGTAAAGATCTCATAATCAATTCGAAGAAGTTTAAATTGACAAACTAGAAGAAAAAAGAAGCAACAAAAGCTTAAAAGGAGATTACAGTTTATCAATGAAACCCAAAAATCACTTAAGAATATCATTGAAGGATATTCCATAAGCTTTCTCCAATTTCCAAGGCCAGAAATTAATGATATCATTATTCCAAACCTTTTGATCATATGCTTCAACTTCAAATATCTATCCACTTTGATGTTGTTAACGGGATAACCATCATTCATATTAATGAAATAAAAGGGAAGAAGAACCCCTTATACCGTTCTTCACTTTAAGTTCAGCCAACTTCCTTCTAGGTAGATCATTCACTGGTCCTAATGCTTGAAGTTCCTTGAACAAAATGTTCTTAGATCCCGGGGTCTTACTTTCCCTGACAACTTTTTTAATAGAAGTCTTCTTAACATTCAAACTCACAGCTGACAATGGAGAAGATTCTCTAAATAATAAATTTTCATACTCAAATTTCTGAAAAAATTTACCATAAATCCCTTCCACCCAAATTCCAGAGGGGAGCTTAGAATTCAAATTAACTCGAATGCAAGCTCTAGCGTACTCCCTTCTCCCCCATCTAAACATGTTACCATCCAATAGTAATCGAGTGCCAATTCTAGAAACAATTCTAGTGATATTGGATTCATCCCAATAATGTAATGGCAAATGAGGAAGACGAACCCAAATCGAAGATGAGACCCCATCCAAAGAGTTAGGAGAGAAAGTAGGTGACCAATAGTCTAAACCTACCACAAATCCTCCTACAAGCCACAGACCTCCATTCATAACTTCCTCCTTGGCTTCTTGAGATTGAAATGAACAAAGGAGCCAATCTAGACCAAGCAATGTAATATGAAATCCTCCAAACTTCGACCATTGCTTCCTTAATTCAAATGAACACTTAGAAAAAGGATAGTTTTTTCTACGAATTTTAACAACCAAGGAATTACTCAAAATTTGAGCATTAGATTTTTCCTTTTCCTTGTCAAGTATGACCACATTTGCATCCCCATTATCATCATGAATTTTACTATAATTAATTTTAATGTGAGGTTTTTTAACCTATACATTAGAATTATCCAAATTTGAAGAAGTATTAGGAATTTTGATATTAACCTTACTTTTGTTAACATCATGGTCATTCTTTAAGATATCAGCAAAACTTCTTCTTGATGAAGATGCTTCATTATCATTAGCTCCCGAAATGATATCCAACAAGGGATTTAGCTTATCATTCAAAAAAGAAATCACTTCTTTTCCTTTGCCAGAAACCGGCAAAGGTTTATGCATAGCATTCAAAGCTCCCTCTCTTATGACTAGAGGAGTTTCCAAAATCCAAAAAGGGGAAATGAATTTGAAGGAGAATCTACCTTTTGAATCCAAAATCCAACATGATTGGATTTGCAGTAGATAGACTTTTTTTGGTGTTCCAGTCATCTATAGATGACCGACCACCTTCTTCCATCTCCAACAATGGCACCCAAATCTTCAAAATCTTCTTCCAATTCCTTCCTAAATTTGTTGAGCTTCTCTCTCTTCAAGCCGCGACCCTCCAATTATTCTTGTGGAGTTCAACAATGCTCTCTCCTTTGTTATCCCTCTCTCACGCAGCTTGTTTTTAAAGATTATTAAAGATCATTAAATTGCTTTCACTAAGCTCCCCTTTTACTCCATTTATGGAGATAAGAAGAAAAGGTATGAGCATTTAAGTATGAAAATGGAAGAGAGAGAGAGAGAGAGAGAGAGAGAGAGAGAGAGAGAGAGAGAGGATTTCCATAGCATTATTTTCATGGGATGAATCAAATTAAGAAGTTGAAAAATTCAAGCAACATAACAAGATAAATTAAAAAAGAATCATTAAAGCCCTTCATAATTTTTTTTTGTTCTAAGCACATTAATGCTCCAAAAAGAACCATATTTCAATAATTGATTAAATCTTGGATGCCCAAAAAAAGTCTCAATTAGAAAAATATTGCATGTGTTCCAAATCCTTCAATAAGATTTACTTAAAGAAACTTTTTATTATTTCAACACATAAACCTATGCCTCAAGACTAAATCAGGTAATTAGTACATGATAAACATAACCTAATTAAGATTTTATGGACCCATCTTTCCAGGTTATCAAATTTCAAATCTAATTAGCTATTAAGATAGTTTACACAACCCAACTAGAAATCTCTTATCAATAACCATGACTTACATTGTCTAAGAAAACTCACAAGTCTCAAAGGTAGAGAAGAAATTGTTGAGATAGTTGCTACTTAGTTTTTGCATGTTTGATATTTTTGCAACTTGTATGTTTTTTATGATCCAAATATTATTAATTTTATTATTATTTCTCCTAACAAATTTTGAAAGAATTGTTTTGCTCTTGTGTGTACTAATATTTTAGGAAAATCATACCCCGGATTGTTGAAGACTTTAAAATCAAAATTAGTTTGGAGTTTATTGTAATTGAAGTCTATATTTTTTATTTTATTGAGTTTGAGAAACTAAGCACATACATACATCGGGGGAGAGTTTTAAAAATTCATATTTTTAAACTGATCGTGCCGTACGATATCACTTCGTACATGACGATCTGATCAGTTTTTTTTTTTCCTCAACGAGCAATGGAATGAAGAGAAATGAAATTATTTTTTCTAAGTATGGTTCGAACGAGACGATCCAAGTTTCGTACAAGGATGAATGTCTCGGGTTCGTTCTCAAGAACTAATCATACGAGACAATCAAACCTTCGTACAGGGACGAACGTCTTGGTTTCGCTCACGCATAAATTTTTTTTTCTAATTCTTGATCGTATGGGACAATCTCAGTTTTCGTATAGAGACGATGCCTCTATTTTATTTTTGGATGAAGATCGTACAAGACGAACTTAATTTTCATATAAGGACGAATGCCTCTATTTTGTTCTAGGACGATGATCGTACGGGATGATCTTAATTTTCGTACAGGGACAAATGCTTTTGTTTTATTCTCGCACGAAAAAAATTTTCTAAGTCTGGATCGTACGAGATGATTCCCTTTTAGTACTAGGATGAATGTCTCGAGTTTGTTATCGCTTATTTCATCTTGACATTTCATACAAATGAAAATTAAAAATTTTAACTATTCGTCCCAGACGAACTTAGTTCGTACCGGATGATGATCGGATATGAAATGTTTTCATATTAATTCACAATAGGTTCATATGCAACAGTATTTGAACTGTTCATACGTACGAACATACGATCGTACTATACGTTCGTGTATGCTCTAAATTGGAAATTTTAATTTTCTAGATGATTTTTCATGTCTTTCGATTTTTGGAAAACATGCATGCCTATATTTTTACATTCACTAGATTATCGTATATGGATTTTAGTTTTAGAAGGGTCTATAAAATCAACTAGATTAGTTGATGGTATTAGAGTTGAAACACCCTTTACTGAATGGACTATAGAACAATGTGACTTAGCACAGTTAAATACTAAATGTTTAAACAGTTTCTTTTATGCACTTAAGTCAGAAAACTATATGTGAGTTTTCACTTATAAAAGTGGAAATGACATATGAGATAGACTCTGTATTACTTATAAAGGGACAAATGAAGTAAAGTAATCTAGAACGAACATCTTGTTACATGATTATGATTTATTTCATATGAAACCAAATGAATCCATTTTTGAAATATATACAATATTTATTCAAATTATCACTTCTTTACATGCATTGGGTAGGAAACTAACGAATGCTGAAATGATTAATAAGATTCTTCATTATTTGCCTACTGTATATGATGCTAAAATAACTGTAATTATAGAATCTAAAGATTTAAATATTTACTCTATTGATAATCTTCTTGGTTCATTAATTGCCTACTAGCAAGGAGTGAGTCAAAGGATGGTTGATGCATGTGAACAACGAAAGGAGAAGAACATTGTACTGAAAGTGAAGGAGTCGGAGAGTGATTTATCATAACCTGAGGATGAGGATAACATAGTTTTAATGACTAGACAATTCAGGAGCTTTCTTAAAAAGAAGCAGAGGAGATGCCAACAGTGGAGTAGAGGTAAGTTCAATATGAATGTTAAGATTTCTAATAATGTGATTTTCTATGAGTGCAGGAAACTTGGACATATAAAGTCAGACTGCCCAAACCTAAAAGCCACTCCTATCAAAGAGAAGGCAGAGGAGAAATCAAATGTGTAGAGGAGCAAGAAGAGATTCCAAAAAGCTTTTTGGGCAGGGTCAGCTTCGAATTCGTCAGAAACTAAAAGGAGGAGGAGAGTCACTAACTTGTGCTTAATGGCCGATAATCTTGATTAGTCATATCAAGAAGAGGTATGTGATTTAACTTATG